AGGGGCCAATCGGAGAGGGGCCCAACAGGAAGCGGAAAGCGGAGGCCCCTGGGCAGCGCACCACGAAAGCGGCGTCCAGGAGCCGACCCAAGAGCAGCGGGGGCAGCAGAACTGCAGACTGGCCGTCCCACAGCTCCCCCCAGAGGCTGGAGGATAGAAGCGCGGGGCCGAGGGAAGAGTCCAGCAGCAGCTCCGAGGATGAGGGGGGCAGGGCGGCGGGGTCGGAGGGTGGCGGGCGGAGCCGCACTAAGACCAAACCTTCCCCCAACAAGAAGTGCAACGGGCTGAAGGAGAAGACGAAAGGGGGACGGTCCTCGGCATTTTGGGACGTCCCGGAAAAGCGTCCCAAGCTGGCGCTGGGTGTGGAAGAGAAGCCGGGTGGCAGCCGGGTGAAGGGGCAGAAGGACGTCTGGTCCAGCATCCAGGCCCAATGGCCCAAAAAGACACTGAAGGAGCTGTTTTCAGACTCGGACACTGAGGCGGCCAACTCGCCCGCTCCCGCCGTCTCGCAGGCCGAGGACCCGCCGGTAGGTGACCCAGAGCAGGACAGCGAGGAGGGGCAGGGGACCCCCGAGCCCGAAAAAGCCCACGAGTCCCCCAGCAGCGGGAGCAACTCTGTCCTCAACACGCCCCCCTCCACCCCCGACTCCTCCCCTGCCCCAAACGCCAGCACCCCAAACCGGACTCAGAGCTCCACTCCACCCCCAGCCCCACCCCCTCCCTCTCTGGGCCCCGCCCCTGAGTCCTCCCCTGGCCTTCCATTGGAGGAGAGCACTGAGGGGCGCAGCGAGACGGACAGCAGCACGGTGGAGGTGGAGAGCGTGGGGGGCGAGGTTCCCCCGGAGGGCGGGGCTGGGTCCCCCTCCATGGTGTTCGATGGGAGTCTCTCCTGCCACAGTAGCTGCAGCAGCCCGAACGAGGGCGAGCAGCGGCCCGGAGGTACAGGTCAGTGTGAGCCAGGGGAAGGGCGCTGGGGGCTGGGGGCAGGAGGGTGTGGTATGGGGGAAAGTGGGTGTGGTTACGGGTCAGGTTGATGGAGTATTGGGGCAGTGTGGTGTGGTCATAAGTCAGGTGGGTGTGGTATTGGAGCAGGTTGGTGTGGAATGGAGGTAGGGTAGAACATGTGGGTCACCATATGACCTTTGCTGTTGCACTACCACCAGGGCAAATTTTTCATTTCTAATTGGAGAAGCTTTAATCGTGTCAAGTCTCCTTTCAACTTTTCTTGTGCTTTGAGGAGGAAGTTATTGATTGAGGTGTTTCTGGAGTATTTCCTCTAGTGCCACCACTTTGCCAAATTTAACACTTTTAAACTGTATTAACTCCAACATTTTTGATGGAAATAATGTAATTATTTAATTGTGTAATTATGTGATTGTTCCTGGTGTATTGAGGTGAATTTTGGCAACCCTATGACCATCCCTGTAGCACCACCACCCAGCCAAACTTTTCACTCTTAAAAATGCTGTATCTTAAGCCATTCGAGTGGGAATCTTGTCAAATCTGTTGTCATCATTCCTGTTGCATATGACCAGGACTTTGTTAGTTTTGATGGCTCTATTAATATTTCTGTAGTATCACCATCATGTGAATCTACATTTCCAAGTACAACGGTTTTAATGGGAATCAGATCAACTTTGCTGTAAACATTGCGGTGCATAAAAGAGAAATCCTATTGTTCTGACAGCACTTTGACCATTCCTGTAGCACCACCATTTGGCTAAAGTTGCCATTAAAAAGCAATAATTGTTAGTGTTCATGTGAGAATCGGGTGAAATTTTCTGAATATTCCTGGAGCCTTGAGTGGTTTGAATGTTGATTAACCCTCTCCTGTTTCCTGTGGTGCCCCCACTGGGCCGTACTATCAATTTTGCTCATAGGGACAATGCCATAGTTTTGGAAATATAAAATGCATTTGTCTAGTTATGTGGTGTGATTACCAATATTGAAATGTCATTGCAACCATTTGATCAAAATTGAGTTCAGGTGCATCACAGCGAAACGAATCGGCCAGCCGCTTTTCAGCCAGCAGTATGCTTGAATATTTTATTTAGGACATGTAAATTTAGCTTTGAATAATTTCTGCTTTACTGCTGTGCAGTTAAAAGCATATCTTCAAATAGTCTGCCTTGCACATTTAAACAGTATTTTAGATCTGGAAAGTTTGTTGTGTAGAGTATTTTTGTGATGAGTTTTGTGAGTTTTATTCATTTCAATTATTTTTTTATTGTTTCATTTGGAGAGCGTTCTGGATTGTGGAGTATGGAGAGGATTGGCATTGTTATTTAAGGAGCTTTTTTGTACATTGATAAGCCAAAACATTATGAGCAAATGTTGAATATGTTGTTGTCCCCCTGTGTACCACCACACTATGTCCACATTAATGCCCAGTCCCAGGGTTTCCCAGCAGAACATTTCCGGATCTTTCTTTACCCTCCACTAGCTATTCTTCTTCCCTCAGCACCCAGTGCATTCTGGTGCAATCTCTTCCCCAGGTGAAGAGCGCACATGCTCTTTGTGGATGTCGATATAAAAGAATACAAGACTCATGGAAACAGGCGACCCTCTGTCGTTATTCATTGGTCCCTGTGCTTTAACTGCTGGACTGGCATTAGAATGGGTGCTTTTACTAGTCTGCCACTACACAGAGAAGGGTATGATGCACCCTCCCATAACCATCATTATATGTCTCCCTCGGAGGGAGAGGGTAGACATGTTGTTTTAGGCTCAGTTCCCGTTCGCCTTCGCATTGGTGTCGGCGTTCCCTCTTCGTTTCCGGAGCGTAACTCCAAAACCGTTTGCATGATCTCAGTTAAACTTTGCATACTTACTACTCAGGTCCTGAAGTGGTCCCTTTCGGTATGTGCCTGTCTGTCCGTCCGTCTGTCTGTCCATCCAGATGAAATTAAGATTTGTCCGGCACGTAACTCCGAAACCGTTTGCATGATCTGAACGTAACTTTGCATAATTACTATTCAGGTCCTGCAGTGGTGCCTTTTGGTATGTGCCTGTCTCTCTGTCTGTCTGTCCGTCCGTCCGTCCCTCTGGTGGGTTAGGCAGGGAAGGGGGGCGGGGGGAGACATTAGTTTTCACAAGTAAAAACACTTTCTAGTTTCTGTTGATTTGGACCAGATGAGATAGCTTTAGTTTCCTTAGTGCGTCAGTGAGCTTTGGGCACTCAACCTACTGTTTCTATCCGAGGGTGGTCCGTCCTCGGATCACTGCAGGTAGGTATTCACCACTGCTGACCAGGAGCACACCACAAGCCGTGCCGCTTTGGAGATGTTCAAATTTAGCCATGATTTGGCTCTTATCAAAGTCGCTCAGGTCCAATTTCTCCTTCATCCGACACGTTGACTACAAGAACTGACTGTTCACTGACCCACTAGGAAGTGTTCATGGATATTAACCTGCGTTGTTGTTATAAGATGATTAACGTTATTCACTTCATCTGCGAGTGGTGCTAATGTTTTGGCTCATCGGCATATATTGAGAGAGAGTGCTGTCACTTGCCAAGGATTTTTGTATTGTTGTGTACTGTATGTAGAAGATTTGCATGGTTACTTAGAGCAAGTTTTAGTATTGGTCATATTTGGGGGGTTTTTGTACTAGCACTTATGGAGAGGCTTTGTATTGTTACTTAATGTGACCTGAAAGCAACCCAGAGAGTAAGAGCTGAATCCTGCACTGTAGTGCATTGTGCTCATTCTCCTGGCTGAGATCTGTTTGCAGTAACCTGTGTTTCACATGCCTCTCATGCTGCATTAGCCAATCAGAAGCAGCTGAAGGACTCCCAGGGGGGCGGAGCTTCAAAGAAACAAAAACGGAACCACAAGAACTCAGGCCCTTCCCCGAAAAAGAGCCGGAAAATGGGTGAGTGCATTCCTCTCTTCCCTACCTCCGTCTCAGCAGGGCTCCTCGAATTCATATTCCACTCAGTGACGCTTCCTGCCAACGCGATTATGATCCGTTACTCTCTTTTCAAGATTCCCTTTAATTGAGTCCCTTGAATTTCTGTTTAACTAGTTCTAATTTCAGAACTGCCCGGATTGTCCTGAGCTTGTGGCATCCACTGCTCATAGGCCTTAATTTGGTATCTGATGGGGACGAGCTGAATTGTCGTTTAAAATCTTAACCACCACATTATTAGCTCCTGAATTTTGTTTCTCGTAATTGTTTTCTGATCTAGGCATTTTTCCAAGGCACATTTCTCTTCGCCTCGTGCCAAGCGTGGAGAGTATCCGTGATGCTTGACCCAGCTCTAAATTGCATATTTGGCTTTGATGCCGTTGCCAGTTTATTTCAATTTGTCAACATGCAATTTGTCCTTTGTGCTCCTGCTTTCACGTTACCCAAAATAAATACTTTTTTCTAATTAATTTGCCGCTTGGACCAAAAACGCACTGGTGTACGATGTAGCGCTTTTCTCTCCGGTGGAAATTGACTGAGTATTATAATGCATTTAAGCACACACTGGGGAAGAGACTCTGTCCTTCTCCTGGATTGGAACTTGAGATTAGAACTCTTAGCATTGAATCCAGTACCCAAATAACAGGCGGGGTTCTGTTTTCCCTGCTTATGGTACTTTCATTATTGGACCTGTTTGTGTCTTCCGCCATATCTGGTGAGTATGACTGGAATATAGGCTGAGCAGAACTTACTCTCAAGCTAATGGCTCCAGGTTGGTGGAGTAAAATAATTGAACATATTGAAGAACTTTTTTTCTGCACGTATTATTTACGGTGTGATTTCTGACCCAACAATAGTTTAAGAATGAAATAAATTGATTTAGCTAAAAACTTGGTTGAATTGCACATTCAATTACAATTGTTAGCCAAACGAGATCAGTTATTCCATTATTATCGAAGTGCCGAAGTGCTCTATTGTTGGGTCAGAAATCGCACCAAAAATTATATATGCAGGACTGAAGTTCTTCAGTATGTTTTCCTGTGCAGAGATTATGTTCTTTATGGTCTGTATAATCATTAGCAGACTAGATCTGCCTGATAGCTCACTCGGTTAAAGCATCGCATTGTGGAGTCGAAGTGACTATCACGGCGCGGGTTCGAGCCCCGGTCATACCAACCAGCAGTGGTCGGCAGCTTTTCAGAGTAGCGCACAATTGGCCATTGCACTACAAGGATGCAAATTGGGAAGGGTCTGCCGGGAAGGGTAATAAAAAATGGTAGCTTTGTTCATTGCTTAAGCGCCTCCTGTTGGCCGGACGGGCGCTCGTCCGGAAGATTCTAAGCTTGTTCATGTTTGGGTATCCTCCGCCCTCGTTCTGAACTTGCGAGGATTCAACCAATGAGTGTATAAGAAGCAGTGGCTGACAGGCGCGTGCTTCGGAGGAGAGCCGCGAACTGTATTCACTCTCCTGAGTTGGTAGCACGAGGTCGCATATGAGCAAGCCTTGTACATAGTTCCCCAATTGGGCATTCCAGATTCGGGTGGGATTGGAGATGCCAAATTTTTCAAAAAAAAAAAAGAACAATCATTAGCAGACTAAAATATGCCACTGCTGGTGCCTCTGCCCTGAAGTATTGAACTTGGTGCACGGACTGTAAAAAAATCTTTGAACCCAATGACATGCCATGGGCTTGTGGAGTGCGTTTTGAAATTATAGACTTTTTCAGGCATGGGCATTCCACAAAGTGGACTCACGGACTATTTCGGGATTAAATAGCATATCCCAGGTTCCATCTGCTGGGCAAATAAAGCTCTCCTCTCATGAAATACTTCTTTGACAGGGTAAATCTGATAGAAGCAAGGATTATTATCGTGTTTACCAGTGTGTATACCACCAGATGGACTGAACAAGATGGGTTAGTCTCCATCTTCTAATGCAGGTGTATGGGGCTCTAGTGCTGGAGGACCACAGTTTCTGCAGGATTGTGGTCTCATTCCAATTAGCTACTAATTAGTGGCTTGAGAACGAGGTATATGGACGCATTAGCCAGTCCGTGACTTTAATTGATCATTACTGCAGAAACACCGCAAAAACCAGCCAACACTGAAGCCCTCCTGGACTAGAGTTCGACGCCCGGTTCTAATGTTTACCAAATACTATGTTTAATTTGTAAGTTTTTGTTTGATTGCTGTTCATACAATTTAACCCTTAGAGAGCTGAAATAAATTTTTAAAAATGTATAAATTTAATCATCATGTGCTGTTGAAAACCTATCATGTGGCAACTTGCTTAAAAGAGCTCCCCTGCAGGATGCTCTTTTAAACAAGTTGCCACATGATAGGTTTTCAACAGCTTTGACTTTGATATCTAACATTATTGAGCAACAATGGCTGCATTTGGTGGTCTAAAGATTAAAATTATTGGTCAGAGTGAGATTAAGAACAGCAATTAGGTGACTGGCTGTCGTATCTGTTAGCATTCACACAAGATCTCTAACCTTCAACTGTTCAAAAGTGACTTTAAACAAAAAAATTCCTGTCTTGTTTGGTGTATGTCTTGAAGAATTTGGGATAGAAGCAACGTTTCCTGTTATCTCTCCCTGGCCTCCACAGGAACTGTTCTTTTATTGCAGTAATTAGAATTTACAGCCATAGATTACAGTTTATTACAGGCTACCCATGTTTCCAGACAGATGCCCAATAATTTTGTCTTGGGCTGTTTTTATTTAGGCGAAGAGGAAATCTCATCCAATTAGAATTTAGCTGTCACTCCTACCTAAACACATACCAAAGTACTCTAATCCTTGCATGCTGGACAAGAAGGGTGGATGAAGCAGTTATTTCGTCTCGTCTCTCAGCTCACAGCAGTGACAGCGAGGACCACTCCACCAGTGAGCACACTGCCAAATCCTCAGCCTCCAAGACCAACACCGCTGCCAAAGTGCCCCAGCCGGACGCCCCCTGCTGGACACAAGTACCACAAGCACGGAGGAGGGGACGGAGAGCAGCAGGGACAAACGCCGCGCGTCTACAAGTGGAGCTTTCAGATGTGTGAGTGCTGTGTTCGCCCCTTCGCACCATCCCGTCTAAAACGCTCGAACCGTAAGAGAGACGTAGTCCTTGATGGGGAGCAAGTCTTACCAGAAATCTGGGTGGGTCAGACCCAGTATCAGTAGCTATCTAAGAAGGACAAGAACCCAGCACCTGAACAGAGCTGTGGGTCTGCTAGGTGCTTTCAGTTGAAGGAGCACTTGAATTAGACTTGTTTTCCTCTGTTTTGTTACCCGAGGCCAAAATATGGCCATCGGGTATTGCGAAGATCCTGCGTCCGCCTGTCTGTTTGTCCGTCTGTGTAGAAAATAACTTTTCTTATTGCTGTCAGGGTAATGAAATTCACAGGGACTGTTCTTGGAACATATAGCTTGGACAAGTTCGAAGCTGGGTAACCTTGACCTACTTTAAGGGGTCAAAAGGTCACATTCTTTGTCAACACTGTTTCCTTGATTACATCCACTATGTTTGTTGTAGCCATGTAAAATTTACTGTGTGTATGTTCTGGATAATCAGCTTGCAGAACATTAAAGGTGAATGACCTTCACCTGGTTAACGGGGTCAAAAGGTCACATTGTTTCTGAACAGTGTTACTTTCATTACGCCTTTGCACTACCATGACATTTTTTGGTGTAGCTATGTCAAATTCATAAGGTGCACTCACTGGTAAATCAAGTTTGAGGACATGGAAGCTACATGGCCGTCACCTACTTAAATACTTTCTAATAACAATTTGATGTAGCAACATTATCAACCAAACTGTTCAGTCACCTTCAACATAACATTGAATTTTGATGACTGCGCATCATGTCAGACTTCATATTCTGAATGCCAAACAATGTAAAGTCCCAGCTGTCCTGTTCCACGCTTTCCATATAACCTGCCAGGTCCTGGATGAAGTTGGACAATTACCTCTGTCTTCCTTTTCACTCTTGAAACTTCTCTCAAGCCCGAAAGTATTAAACACATTGTGTTACATTGGCATACATTAAAAAACCCTTTATATGTTGTAATTCCTTGTCTTATGCCCATACGGCCGAGGGTACTTTAGCATTGCGTTCTATGTTTTAAATTGAAGTGGGAGAACTAGGTTCTGGTGCTGTGGTAGAGGTCAGCCATGGAGCATGAGCTCGGAAAGCTTAGCTAACCTGTATGCAGTGATGTCTGACCTGCACTGAGCGGCCATGTTTCACCGCGCCTCAGAGCGTATGTGATCTGACCCGCGCTGTCTCCTGCCCTGCAGCCGATCTGGAGAAGATGTCCAGTCTGGAGCGCATCTCCTTCCTGCAGGAAAAGCTTCAGGACATTCGACACCACTACCTCTCCCTCAAGTCAGAGGTGGCCTCCATAGACCGCCGGCGAAAACGCATGAAGAAGAAAGAGCGAGAAAGTGAGTCTGTCCTGGCTGTAGTTCATCTTTCTGTTTTTACTTCATAACAGTGCTGGCCAGGCCCTTCAGCCATAGCTTTGAGTGCTTTGAGTGCTAAACCAAAAGGGACTTGTACATCATAACATGACCATGACCTAATGTAGTGGGGAAACCATAGTTGGAGTTAACAGCAACCGAATCCACATAAAAAGTGAGTCTAGAAATTAAGTGTAGACCTCTTATGTGTTCACTTTTGAATTAAATTATTAGGGAGTAAAAGACACATGGCCATGGAACACATAAGCATCCAATTGTCCAAATATTTCTGGTCCCGTAAATAAGGGAGGGCTCCTTTAAAATATGCTGTAATTTCTACACTGTCCAACCAATTTCTGTTGTGTTAACCCTCAATCTGATGCAGAATGTCCTCACTTTGAACTCATATTTATTGTTTAATTTCACTTCTAATATTTTCTCGTGGACAGCTAAAATAATAATAATTTTGTCTGTGTATAAATATTGATGGACCTGACAGTAACTAGCTAGGGGCATCTTATCATTAACAGCTATCACTGTAACATTATAGCATATTCTTTTTGGGGAAAGTAATTTTACTAATGGTGGAGTGACTACACACAGTGGCTGGACTCCTTTGCTAATTCTCATGTGATCTCCCGTTTGGTATTAGCCTTTTTTTTTTTTTTTTTTTTCTCTGTGTCTGGGTACTTGACCTGGTCAGGAAATTCACTTTGCCACATGTATTCTGTGTATTTAAATAGTGTTACTGATCTGGCTTTGTTCAGCAACTAGGTTGGTAATGTTTGCTAATACTAGCCATTGTGCCATGCACATTAACATTCATAGTTCATTCAACCTTCCAGTGTAAAAACTATGGCAATATACTCACACACAAAAAGAGGAGAAATGTTTGCTCTTACTGAAATTCCCAAAAGTAGTATTTTGTGCTTTCAACAGAAATGCAAATATTTCACTTAAAATGTATTTTGTTTTTATTTTATGGTATAGTATGGTTGTGAAATGTTATCATGTCCCTAAACAATTTGCCAAAAATAAATCATTCATCTTCTGGAATGGCATTTAAATATAATTGCTTGAATATCTGACTCTGAGCTGAGTGCAGACCTTGCAGATGGGGTGAAAAGGGTGTCGCTGTGACATGGCAAACTGTCTCCTCTCCGACAGGTACAGTCGCTGCCTCCTCTTCGTCATCATCCTCTTCCTCCTCTCCGTCCTCCAGTTCACTCACGGCAGCGGTCATGTTGACTCTAGCGGAGCCCACGGTTTCGGCATCCTCTCAGAACTCTGGGGTTTCCGTTGAATGCAGGTGACAGGAGACGGGAAGGCGATCTTCACCCACCCTGAAAGACCCACAGCACTCTGCACTTACCGTCCCCTGGTCCTAACCCCACTCCTTTTAAAAGTCCAAGTCTCCAAAAATAGTTATTTGAGATGAATTCTCGGACATGGCGATATGTACTCACCATCAGATACTGTACCATATTACGTTCACATACTGTATCAGAATTCCCTGTTTCTGTGACATCACTTTTGTAAAATATTCAGCTACATGAAATGGCTGAGAAGAGAGCGTCATGTATCTAATATTCACACAAATTCAGGAAACATTATAAATGTTGCTTATGTGTTTTAACCAGCATTGTGACTCCGTACAGCGCTAAAGCTAACAATGTCACTGGCTTTTACATGCCATTCCTTTATTCTCCTTAATGTTGA